AGGGCGGCGGCGGGCTGGGTGGCGGCGGCGGCGGCGGTGGCGACGGCGACGGCGGTGGCGGAGACGGCGGTAACGGCGGGACCGGCGGCGGCGATGGCGGGCGAGGAGGCGCGGCGGGCGACCGGTCGAAGAGGTTGTGGCCGACGAGGCGTCCCATCCATACCGCGGCGTGGAAGGCGTCGGGCGGCGGCGACGGCGGAGGCCGTGGCGGCGGAGCGGGAGGAGGCGGCGCAGCCGGCAACGGCGAAGGCACCGGAGAGGGAGGAGGCGGAGGCGGCGGCGACGGCGGCGAGAGAGGGGATGGGCTGTCGATGCCCCGGAACATCATCCACCATTCCGCGAGCCGGTGGCGCACAGGCGCAGGCGCGGCCGATCCTGCGGCGGCGGTGCGCCCGGCGACCGAGAGTGCGCCGGCGAGGATGCGTGGCGGTGGCGGTGGCGGCATTTGAGCGCTGCTGGAAGGGGTGGGGAGCAGGCACGAAACCCGGGATTGAAGATCACCTTTTTTTTTTCTGTCGGCTTCGTTTCAAACCGGTGGAGAGTGTGTGTTTATTAAATGAACTCGGGGGCACGGGACGCGGCACAAACGGGGCACAAACGCCAGGCTGGAGAGTGTGTGTGTGTGTGTGTCGTCGTGGTTTCGTATCAAGAATACTCACTCACACACTCAAACCGGTGGGGCCTCCGAGTCGGGCGTAAAGCACGATTGCTCATGTTTTGCTCGCCTTCCCTGGGAAATAATAAAAACTCGGGAGCACGGGACGCGGCACAAACGGGGCACGAACGCCAGGCTACAAGCCCCGTGTTGTGTGACTGTCTCTGTGCGATTCCGGGCCCGGGGTGGTGCGTTTCCTACCCAGCTAGGGACTGAATCCTCGTTGAAAACAACAAAAATGTCAGACCTCATCTCTCTGAAGGTCGACAACTTCCCCTTCGAGACGACGACGAACGAGCTGACGGACCTCTTCTGTGCGCCTCGGCCCGCCGCGCCGCGCCCGCGCGCCTCCACTGCCGTGCACGCGCAGAACTCCTCCCGCCGCGCCCGCCTCGCCGCTCATGACTGCCGCACGCGCTTTGGCAGCCAAGTACGGCGAGGTCAAGGACTGCTACCTCCCCAAGGACCACGCCACCGGCAACTCGCGCGGCTTTGGCTTCGTCCGCTTTGGCTCGCAGGACGAGGCCGACGCCGCAATCAAAGGGTGCCGCCGCAGTAGTGGGTGATCGCGTGCTCCCGCGCTCCTGATTCGCCGATCCTGATTCGAGGGGAGATCGAGGCGGGCGGCGGTGGCGGGCAGCGGTGGGGCGCGGCGGGCGGGCAGTGAGGGGAGGCGGAGGGAGAGGCTGTGCGCGCGGCGCGGCGCTCGGCGCTCGCAGGTGTGTTCCGGTGTTGCAGAGGGCGGGCGGACGGCGGGGGCGGCGGCGGCAAGGGGTCGATGCGGGCGGTGTCGCGGCGGTGCGGGGATGGGGCGCGAGTTGCTGGCGGTGGTGCTGTCGGTCGGTGGGGGGCAAAGGAGGCGGGGGCAAAGGAGGCGGGGGCAAGGAGCTGAGACGGGCTGCTGCGGTGGCGGGGGATGCAGCGGCGAGATGAAGCTCTTCGAACGGTGGGGGGGGAGGGAGGAGCGGCAACGGCGGGGCCCTGGCGCTGGTGGCGAGATTGCAATCTCGGAGGGGGGGAGGAGGAGGAGCGGACATATGGCTAGCAGCATCCGGAGGGCGGGGGAGCGGTGCGGACAGCTTCGCCCAGGCGCCTGCGCGCGAGAGAGAGACAGAGAGAGAGAGGGAGGGAGAGAGATGAGAAAGAGAGAGGGAGAGAGAGAGAGAGAGAGGGAGAGAGATGAGAAAGACAGCGCGCGCCGCGCGAAACGCGAGCCACCCCCGTATCGGCCACAAGGATGGTTGTCCCATGACACATCCCATCATGTCAAGTGCAAAGCGGCTCT